CTTGGGTAGGATAACATTCACTGAAAATATGAAAAGATTTGGTTGAATTCTTACAGCAGTAGAGCTTTATACTTCTGACCATTTTTTTTAGGCGGTTTTTGATCATTTTTGCAACAAAAACAAGGAGGGCTGGTGAAATCCCCCCAGTTTGACCAAATTTCCTTAAACTTAGACTGAAGCAGTTTTGGGTGGACCCCTTTAAACTGGCAAAGTTTCATTGAAATCGGTGAGATGGCTTGTGCCACCCCCGCCTGGTCCTATCGTGGATGCACTCTTAAACTATCATTTCATTCAACTACTGATCTGATTTTTGTACAGTGCACCATTTTCTGTTGAAACTGCCATACTGACTCTCAAATTCACTTCAGGGCTTCAGCTGCAAATAAGTTTGTTTAAAACAAAACGCTTATTGTGTAATACGTTGTACTGTTGGCTTTACTAACAAAGGAAAATGAGGTAAAATGACTGTTAACCTCAGATAAATTGAGGCCAACTTACCTTGAGTGCAGTGGTATATTTAGCCATTATTATGCAAGTGGCAAACAGAGTGAAGCAGTACTGTCCTGTCTGGTTTGAAAATGCTGTGTGGGCCTCTGCAGTCATCTGACCACAGTAAGCAGTGCTCACATTGTAGCAAGCCAAATTATTTCACCACAGACTGTAAAACTTGCAAATAGCGAGAATCTAGCATTAAAGCTACGCTAGTTGTTTCTATTACATTTACAATTGGAAAAAATAGAACATCGAAGGCAAGCTGAATTATCACTAGTCTGCAGCTGCCCTTTGCCTAAAGAACATTTTAGCTTCTCACTATGTTCTACCTGCGTAGTCGCAGACACAGTAAGATACTAGCTGCTGAATATGATGAAGTATTTAGTAGCTGTGTAAAAAGCCAAAAACCAAAACATAACTACGCCAGTTGTCTTTCAAATGAGACTTCAAATAAATGCTAATTTTGCACTGTGTTTGCTGGATGTGGGATTTGGCAAGCGTTTGCCAGGTGGAAATATGTTAGTGTTGTGTTGCCTCCAACTGGCAGAAACATTTTAATGCAGTTAATGCAACTTTACGTTTTTGTAAAATGCTATTTTCTAAAACTGCAGAGACAACACTCCCATCCAAAAGAATCTTGTTTGGCACAAGTACCCTGCACAGTGCGAGAGTCATAATTTAAATAAGCTTTACTGCTCTGGAATCAGAAACAACTAACCCTGATGTGAAAAAGCAAACTACATACAGCAGTTGGGTTTATTTCAAGGGTTCGAAATGACCACGGACAGTCTGTCAGTTTAGGTGCTATCCATCTTACTAAAAGATTTCTCTGGATTACCTCCTTCCTCCAAAGTCAAAAGATAACATGTCAAAGTCTAATCTGTGTTTATAATGTCATGTTGCTTGAGGGTCAATATGGTGGTGTCAACAAAACATTGAAGTCAAAGTACATCAAGTACAACCACTGTAAGACATCTGGTCTTGGCAAAAAAAATCGTCTCTTCTGTTTCATAATGCTACAAACTCTTTGATAAAGAGGTCACTTTTTTTGTTCACATTCAAATAATACCAACTTAAAGCAGTGCAGATTTTCTCCCTAACTGTAGCTCTTCAAGTTAGGATCACATTACAGCATTACACACACAGTGACAATGTAAACTAAAGCCTTCAAAGAAGATGATAAAACTCATCACAATTCCTCAAAAATGCATTAAAAAGGTTGTTTTAAAGCCATGCTAGCACCATTAATCCTCCTTTGTCTCCTGGTAATACCTGGATGCCCTGCTGCGAGAGCCTGGGCTGGTGCTGCCCCCAAAGTTGAAGTGGTACCCGTTGGGCACATCAAGGTTCTGCTGTGGTGCGGGGAGCAGGGCTCCCATCATGCGAGGCAGTGCGGTCTGAGATGAGCATCCAGCACGGAAGCTGGGAGACAGTGATGCCGCATCCTGGAAGACATCCAACTGGTCCTGTAGGCTGCTGTAGGGGCTGCCTAGGGTTTCACTGTGGCCCCGGCCCAGGAAGGGCTCGGAGCTGATACGAGTGACGGGGGAGGGGAAGTGGCGGGAGCTGCTGTGACTGACGGCATTGTGCTCTGACAGGCCGCTACTCACATGGTCAGGACTCAGAGAGGCCTGGCTGGACACAAAGTGCACAGGGGAGGAATTGGCAGTCTTGTAGGCCACCCCAGGCCGCGGGTTGAGGGGGGTCTGGGGTAGCTGCCGACGTCCGTGGCTTGGCGTGCTAGAACTGGAGCTCAGTGCCACTGGGCTGCCTTTAGCCCAACCACTGCCCTAGATGAAAATTGGACAAGCAATTTGAAACGATAGAATGATGAAAAAATATGTCATTGAGGAAAGCAAAGGGGAAGGTTACAGGGACGCGGCCGCCCAAGGGAAGAGGAGAAAGGAAAGGCACAAAAAATGCGATAGGTGATGAAATGATAAAGACAACAAGAATAAAAGGGACAGGAAACATAAATAAGAATGAAAGAACAAGTACCAATGCAAAGATAATGACAGAAAAAGTGATGAAAAATGATGAAAAGACAAATTGAGAAAAGAAGCAAAAGAAGCCATGAGAGGCTGCACTAAAGGCAGACAAGGGAGACAGTAGTAGTAAGAGCATGCAGAGGGATCACAGTAACACTTCAGCAGAGTTTGCACTCTCCTTACTTTCTTCTGTAACACTATCTGTTCTATGTTGGTTTCAGAGTGCACTGATCTCAGACATCTTAACGTGATGTGATGCAGAGCAGCCTGACAATAAGCTTATCTTTAAATGTATCTGGTCAAATTACTCATCTCTCATATGGCATAGTTTGATTTAAAGCATATTAATCATGGAATTTATCCATTTATGCACAGAGAGTTTATAGAAGCCTGAGGCCTTAAGTTTCATGGCAGTGACGTGGCAGGAAAGGTAAAATGTGTTTGCTTTGATCTTAATGGAATCTCCCATTATTGCTGCTATAGACCACTGTGCTGTGTACTAGATGTGGAGATCCTGATGTGGGTGTGCTGTGCATGCTGTATTTTACTGTCACTATTCTGGTTTAACTTGTCCAACCCAATCTGTGAATGACAACTGCTCACAGATATCTGGAGAGCCTGTGAACAGGACACACAGAACAACAGCCTCTATTGTGTTTCTGCAGAAATGCTATGGTATGGTCAACTAAATATGGTTACTGCAACCACCTTATGCTTTAGCGCTAGGGTCAGGGTTAGATATGCTTAAAGATGCCATAGACTTTATCGGGCCAAACAAATCTTGAAATAGTGGATAAAAGATAGCAGGCCTCACAGACCTATTTATGGCTAGTTATCACATACTTTAGTTTTCTCTTAGGGGCAAATGAAACTCTTGACTGGTCCAAAGCAATGGTACAAGTTATGAACATACAACCTGTCTCCCAACAGGAAAAAAACAAAACAAAAAAAACTCCCTAATACTGAATATGGACTTTATATATAACAAAATTAATAAATTAATATTTTGTTCACTATGTCATCATCACAACAATTATGATTATGAGATTATTTGGATGTTATAATCTTTTTTTTTTGGCCAATTCCCAGTTAGCGTTTGGCCTCTTCCACTTTATACAGAATTTTACCACATGGGGCACTGCTCAGTTTGTTTGCTGGTTTTCAGTACCTTGAAGCTCTGAAGTGTGAAATTCTGTGGGTTTGTTAAAGCGGACTTAAAACACATGTAAAAGCAAACCTCATAGAAAACAGTACAGGAATTAAAAACACAAAGAGGCACTTGGACTGCTTTGTGTTCCACTGTTGGGCAGTGCACCAGACCATAACCTGCCGTATATTCTGCCAAAAGCCTTAACTTTTGTCAAGCTTGCTGGGTATGTTTTTTAGGGTTTAACTTTACTCTTACTTGCCATTCAGGGTCCATGAATGCCAAACCTGACTCACTTTCCAACCCTGACAACATCCTCGCTGTGACCTGAGTGGTGGAGCTGCCTCCTAGAAAATAGAATGCGTGTTTAAACAGGGTCAGCAAGATTAACCTGACCCAGGGAACAGTCCTCTAAACAATTTATTTGTGACTGACTCAGCCTAACCTCAGATCCTCCAGTGGGTTCATGGCTCCAATTTTGCCTGCATTCCAAGTTTAATCTGCACCCTGTCTCTTCACAAACAACCCTTCTGGTGGCCCACCATAGAGGTACATGCCTGTGCCCATGTCTCAGCAACCTGCTCTTGAGGAAAACCCTCCCACTGGCCTGGGTATGGTGTCTGAGACAACAGTTTTTTTATGAACTCTTGGCCACTCGTCAGTCTCACCTTGGGGTTCGGTCCACAGACTAACAGTCAAACAGAGTGGGCTATCCAGGGCCTGGAGCTCTTTTCTCACCTGGGTGGAGTAAGCCCACAATTCAATGCAATCACAGGTCTGTCATCTTTAAAACCTCCCCTTGGTTATCAACCTTCTCTGCTTCACTCCTAGGGAAGATACCAAGCTGTCCCTTTATTTCAAATGCAACTTCACCCCTGCACGAAAGTTTGGAGGAAGACCAAGACCAAGTCGTTAACTGCCACTGGATTCCTGCCCTCACATACACACAAGGTTATAATTGGTCATGGATCCCTTGGCCCTTCATTGTGTAACTCTTCTGGAATGCGGTATTAGCTTTACGCCAGATATCTTCCAAAAAAGTTACTTAGGATAAGGTGGGGCAGTAATTCTAGTGTTTAATGGGTTTTATTAAACGGTTTTATGAATGTTTTTTTTTTTTTTTTTTTTAATGAATATTTTATCTTGATAAGCATATGTGTTTTTGTTTTTTGTTTGTTTTGTTTTTGTTTTTCTGTTGTTTTACTTATTTTTTAAAATTATTTTAATATTTATTAAATATGCAATTTAAGGATGGCACTTATAATTTCGTTGTTCCCATACAATGACAATAACGACATTCTGACAGCATTTTTCCTTTAATAAATTACACACTCATTTAAAAACTGCATTTTCTGTTTTCCTGGGTTATCTTTGTCTTGTAATAAAATTTGTTTGCTGTTAGTGACTTAGTTAATATGAACTGCAGTGTGTTCATGGTGATGTGAAGAATGTTAACCAGTATGACGGTGTGGCTTGTTGGTTGTTTTAAAGAGTTTTTGGACAATGGGGACACTTTATGGTACAGAATACTGATCGCACTGTTGTTGCTGCTTAACACTTAGGACATTTACTTATCTATAAACAGTTTTGCTATTTATCAGGGTTTTTTTCCCCCTTTTTTTCCCCAATTCACTTCAACAACAAATGTTTTAAATTTGAAATAATGAATGAATTAAAAACGATTTTACACTTTAGGAAAGTTCTTGCAAGACTTGGATTTCATTCCAAAACTCTTTGAAACAAAATACATATGTGTAAGCTGAGTCAGTGTGGAGTGTTTGGTCTTTAGATTTATATTATCTGCAAGAGGTAAATATTAGTTTATCTAGGGGCAGCAGATTTCACTGATAAACTGAAATGTTATGGATTTAAATCGTGCTAAAACGCGGCAAGGTTCATTACATCCGACAAGCTCATTATTTCTAATTTTCCATGAAGCTTGTGGCGTTGACCTCAGCTAACAAGATGTCATTAAGTTCTACAAAGTAGTTAATGAATCTTTAATTTTCTTTTTTGTAAGAAAGACATTAGGTAATATAGAAATCAAAGATATTTAAAACTCCAGACTCATTAAAAACACCTTCACTTAGTCTAAAGCATTAGCTGGCCTGATGCTACATGCCTGTGCATCCCACCTGCTTGTTGACAGTCTCCTGGCCCTCACTGGGGGAGACAGCATAGCTCGCGGTTGCAGATTTAGTCAGGCAGTGTTCCCGGCTGCAGTAGCGGTCACAGGAGTAGTAGCGTTGCTTGTCCGCAGAGGAGTGGTTCTGTTTCCTCTCATATGAACGTCCACGCTCAAGGTCTCGCTCTCTGGAGGCAGCTGGGTCAGATGCTGACTCTTCAGGGGAAACTTTGAAGGAAGAAAACACTGCAGGGTAAAAAGTGTGCCTCACTTGGAAAGACATATTGTCTTCAGTCTATGACGTGTGATCTGAATGTTTTCAGCCTCTCTGGCTGATTAACATCAACCACACACATGATTTGATTTAATTAAACAAACCACACTTTAATTGTTGTCATTGGTGGGTCTTCCCTTTTGTTGTGCCAATTTGGAGCCAGGTCACAACAAATGGAGGCTCCTCTGCTAAGGTATTTTGGTACATTTGTTTTGTTGTTTCTTAGGTAGCAGTCTTTGGGTTTTGCGGAGACAATCTGTAATGTTGTTTGGAAGCAGGGTTGTTTGTGATCAAACACTAATTGTTTGGTGCCACCCAGAAGCTAAGTGTTAATGTAGTGTTTGAAAAAAACCCCCACAAAGATGAGGTTCAGGATCTGGCTGTCGCGGGGTTCAACCAGCAATTTTCCCAAACTGGGAGAAAGCGATGGCGTAGACGTCAGCTGTGGTTTTAGATTTATTTTCAGGCCTCTCCAAAGTGCGACAGTGAATAGAATATTTACAAAGTGCAACAAAATAAAAATAAAAAGTGCAAAAATCCAATTGTAAAAATATCAAAGGAAAAGAAAAGAAAACTCTATATACAGATCTAGACACACACACCAGCTCTCCTTTAACTCCACCTTCAAAAAACTCTGACCAACACTGTCACTATCACTGTCTCCAACTCCGACTCCAGACTCCAACTACTCCCACCATCAGTCAGGCCCAGAGCCCTTCCCACTGGGCGTACCCTTTACAGGTAAAAATACAAAAATTATACAAACATAGTTTTCTAAACAGTTTCCCCCCCCAGCTCACCCCTGCGATGGGAAACACAAATTCTTAGTCAGGGGACGGGGGTAGGGTTTCTCACAATAACCCAGCATCAATTCAAAGAATAACGGTTACAGGAAAATAAGAAAATGTTGGGCCTCATGTGACCGGCAACTGCGCGGGGCCATACCATTTTAAGCCGGCTGATGGTATGGCCCGGGTTTGCCCGCCAAGCATTCCAGCCAGCTGCCTACCGCTGCAACGGATGGTGAGTGTGTGTGCGTGTATGTGTGCGTGTATGGACGAGAGAGAGAAAGCATCGCTGCAAGTGTGCACCCTTGGTCACGAGACTTAACAGCAGGAAGTGAAATAGAATGAGGTGTGAGTGCAGGTTATTGTAACGTTTGTAACTGGATGTGCGTATGTGTGTGTCCTGTGTGTGTGCCGCGTCGGCGTGTGCCGCGTTGGCGTGTGCGATGGCTAACCTCAAGTAGTTACAGCAGCATAAAGAGTTATGAGCAATACAGTTTGAGTATGAGAAATTAGGTTTAAGACGGGAAAAGGAGAATAGGGACAGACATTGAGAGAAGTAACATGAATTGGAGAAAATTCAGTGAGGTACTAAAAGTTTAAAACTACACGCAGAGCAAGCTATTAGTCGAAGAGGGTATGCTTGCTTCAGGGGGATTCGGTCAGTCTAGCATGAGGAGTCAGCTAGACTGCTGATCTGTTGTCATTGGAAGTCTCGCCATTCCAGGCAAGGCTTGCCGATCAACACAGTTTTGTAAAACCACACTAAATAAGAGAAAATGAGCTCAACTGAGTCATGGTAACTTACTTAAATCATATTACATCCAGAACATCTGTGAGATTGGTGACTTTGGAGCTCAAAAAATTAATTTTGGTACCACACTGATGGTTGATTCTGTTGGGGTTATTCTGGGTTAGGGTTTGGCCCAAGTGTAGGTTTAGATGATAAACGGGATGTTGTAGCACCAGATGATCTGGTTATTTGCGGTCGGATGACAAGTTCTGAGGTTTCGGGCAGCCTGGATAGATTATTGGTTATTTAGAAAGTAAAGCCAATAATCTTAATACGTTTTATTGAGCATGATGATGGAAGCTGAGGATTAATTTCCATATGTCTAAATTGTCTGTAGGTGTGAATGTGAGCATGCTTGGTTGTCTGTCTCTAAGTGTAGCCCTGTGATAGACTGGT